GCACTTGTAGGGCTTCTCGCCAGTGTGCACCCGTCGGTGCCGCTGCAGGTCGGACGCGTACTTGAAGCGCTTCTCGCAGTCCGGGCACTTGAGCGGCTTCTCGCGGGCGGGGTCGCAGCGGTGCTGCACGAACTCCGACGACGAGAAGAAGCGGCGCTCACACAGCGTGCAGCGCAGGGGCTTCTCCGCCGCCGCGCAGTGGGCCAGCTGGTGCTTCTGCAGCGCTGACGCGCGCTTGTAGGCCTTGTTGCACACGGGGCACTTGAAGGGCCGCTCGGTCGTGCCTGGCAGGCACTTGTGCCGCAGCAGCTCGGCCGACTGGTCGAAGCCCTTCTGGCACACGGGGCACTTGAAGAGGGTCTCGAGCGTGTGCACGTGCTGGTGGTAGAGCAGGTGGCTGGGCTGCCCGAAGCCCTTCTCGCACAGGCCGCACTTGAAGGGCTCCTCTGTCTTGTGCGTGCGCCGGTGCCGCATCAGCGCGTACTGCTGCTTGAAGCCCATGGGGCACAGGTCGCACTTGAAGGGCCGCTCGGCGCTGTGCGTGCGCTCGTGCTGCCGCAGGTCCGACGGCCGCTTGAAGGCCTTCTGGCACTCGCCGCAGCGGAAGGGCCGCTCGCCGCTCGGCGTGCATGGGTGCTGCAGCAGCTCCGACGACTCCTTGAAGTGCAGCTCGCACACGTTGCAGCGGAACAGGTGGTGCTCACCCGAGTGCGCGTACATGTGGCGCACCAGGTGCGAGCGGTGCTTGAAGGTCTTCTCGCAGACGGCGCACTTGTAGGGCCGCTCAGAGCTGTGCGTGCGCTTGTGATGCACCAGGTGCGACGACTGGCTGAAGCTCTTGTCGCACAGCGTGCACTTGTACGGCTTCTCACCCGTGTGGATCCGCTCGTGCCGTGAGAGCTCCGACAGGTGCTTGAAGGGCTTCTGGCAGATGGGGCAGCTGTAGGGCTTGTCGGCCTGCTCAGCGGGGACCACAGTAGCCGGCGGGTGCGCCGGGGGAAGTGCCGGAGCGGTGGCGGCGGCCGGTTCAGCGGCCTCTGCTGGCTTGTAGGTCTTCTCACATATGGAGCACTTCACCAGGCCGGTGTGCGCACTGTGGTGCTGTGCCAGTGAGGTGAGCAGTGAGAAGCCCATCTTGCAGACCCCGCAGACAAAGGGCTTCTGCTCGGCCTGCACGCACTGGTGCTCCAGCAGGTCAGTGGCCTGGTGGAAGATCTTGAGGCACTGCGTGCACTGGAAGGAGCGGTCGTGACCTGCCAGGCACTGGTGCTCGTGGGGGCTGGCCAGGTGTGCCAGGTCATGGCCACACACGCCGCATTTGGGGCCTGGCTCACCTGCTGCCTGCAGGGGTGCATGCTGTGGGGGCTGCAGGCCCGGGTCTGGCTGCAGGAGGATGCCGTAGACAGCACAGCCCAGGGGGTTCTCCGCCGTGCCAGGGGGCAGCGTGTGTTCCGCCAGCGCCGGCGGTGGCTCTGCATGGTGCTGAGGCTGTGGGGGCTGCGGCTGCTGCGGCTGCGTCTGCGGTGGCTGCTGCCAGGTTTCCGACATACTTGGGAATATGAAACAGGGTTTGGAGAGTAATGGCTTCAGTTTCCCGCTTAAGGTGACCCAACCAAGAGAGAGAAGCTGCCCGATCTCAGAGATGGACAAGGACCTCAGACAAGGCACAGAATGGGGGCTGGTAAGACAGCCCAAGTCATTAACCAAGAAGACAGACTACAAGGCTCTGTTCAAGTCACAGGAGGACTCTTTGAGGCAGGGTCCCAGCAGTGCCGGGGAGGCTCTGCCTTCGTCAGTGAGTGGTTCTGTAGGGAAGAGAGAAATCGTGAGCTCCAGGCAAGAATAAGCAGCAGATCCCCAGGGACAAGCTGTGGTTCCCAGGACCCTCCCTGTTCAGCCTGCTCCCACATGAACCATGCAGGGAAAGGAGGGATGACCAGGGCTGTAAGACTGCTCCTGTCACATGCACCCAAAGAGGTCTGCTGCCAACCAGTTCTTCCAGGCAAAGGGGATGGCAGCAGCCTCCACCACTGGGCCAGCCTCCACAAGTCCCCTCAGCTTCCTGTCAGCCCTCTTCAGTCAGGTGCCTTGCCAGTGACAGCCTGGGGTGATCTGCCCACAACACAAAGGACTCCTGAGCCCTGCCAGCTCCTCTCCCATTGCCGGGCTGAGTCTCAACCCAGGACACTACTGCTCAGAGGAATGGCCTTCTGGGCAGAAGAGGCCAGACCTCCCAGGACTGAGAGCTCACTGGCAGATGGCCTCTAGCCACTACCTGGAAGCAAGCACTGTCTCGGAACCCTCTCCCATGAGGGGCTGGCCACACCCCCCTTGACATCCCTGGCCACATGCCTGTCCTCTCTCCACATTAACAGGATGGATGGCCTTGCAGAGACCTGGGCCAATGGATGATGGCATTAGATGACAGGTCCACAGACCCACTCAACCTTGAGGCTCATACAGTAGAACTTCCTCACTCTAATCATCTTCCAGGGCACAAAAACCATACAAACAAAAAAGTCCTAAGACCTCTTAATCTGACTGTGTCAAGGTCTGCAGGAAAAATAGAAGAAACTGCCCAGGTCAGCCTTGGCAACATGGGATGTAGCATGCCAACCACAGTGCGTTTCTCCTTATCACCTTTCTGGAGACCACTCCCTGCCCCTGCTCCCAACATTCCGGGTAATCACTGGAAGGTAAAGCCCACCCAGCCCAGGCGAATCTCTAACTCACCACTTTGTGGCAGCATAAGGTAATGCCAGCGAGGGAGGAACTTTCAGAGTCAGATGCAACCCACTTCCAGGTTTCTAGCTCATCTGCCTCTTACATTTAAAAGTTTCTAAGTTTTCTCCTGAGCAGAGGAAGAAGGAAGGGAATGCCTTCATGGGGCTGTCTGGCCCCCAACTGCTCTACCAGAGAAACAGTTGAGTCAGGCCAATAGCTGTCATCCCTAGCATCTTCCCGGAAGGGAAAAGGGAAGGAGCAGCTGCTCTGGGTGGAGGCAGCAGGTTGCCTGAGCAAGCAGGTCCCTCTCCGTTGTCTCAGCTTCCCGGAACAGAGGGCTTCCCAGGACGGTGGGCTCTGAGCACCGCCAGGTCCCGCTGCGCCAACCCACTGTTTTGCTCTTCTGCCATGAATGGCTGCCGGACCCAGTGTCCCCTGGCTTGACCGGCAACGCCGCTGCCCACCCCGGCCCTCCTCCAGGAAGGTGCGGCCAGGAGCCTCTGGTCACTCGGCGAAGGAGAGAGGCGAGGGGAGGCCCCGCTGCGCCCCACCCAGCTCGTCCTCCTCCCTGGGAAGCCGAATGGAAGCCGGCCACCTCCCGCCGGCCCAGCGGGCTGCGCCCTGTCAGCCCCTGTCAGCCCCCGCCCGGGACGGCCGGCCCGCGGGCGGCGGGGCGCGAGGAAGGCCCCGGGGCGTG